CATCGTCACAGTAGAGTCTGAATATTTTCTCAGATCTTATTGGCCCACTTCCCACAGGCCTGGAAACGCCAAGGCCTGGAAATCTACCCTAAGAATCAAATGATTCACGGATGTCAGGAGCAAATGCACCTGCTGCTCGCAAAGACATGATCACAAATCCAGTCCTGCAGCGTTCCTGCCATGCCCACATCCTCCTCTGCCAGGCAACTTGTGTAACAGCATCACCCAGGGACCAGCCTCCAGGACAGGCCACTTCCTCGTCTCGCTGTCGCAAACCAGGGGGATGGCAGTCCGAGTTCAGGGCGAAAGGTCGGCCTGAGATCCAGAGCCGTTGAGTCTCAGGCCAGAAGAACCCAGCAGGAAACACAGGCCACTGGCCAGCAAATTTCACCCCATTCCCACTTTACTGAAGTCAGTGACTTGCATCATCTTCCAGAAACGTAGTGGGCCTCCTGTCTTTACCTGAAGCCCTCTAGCGACGGAGGGTGCAACACATCCCCGGGGAGTGTGTCCCAGTCACCCTTCCTGTTAACAATCTGGCGCCTGATTTCCAGTCTGAATAGCTCAGGCTTTAGCGTCCAGCTGTTGGTTCTTCCTTCCCGCAGAGGTCCCTCTCCACCGCGATCACCCCACCTCTCCGGCGTCCTTCCGAGAGCCGAGCTCGGCAAACGAACCCGCTTCAGTCGCCGATTCAGTTCTGTGGCTCCCCTCTGCCCCTTCCCCAGTCTGGCGACATCCTTTATCAACGGGGCACCCCAGAACTGGGTGCAGTGTTCCCGCCGCAGCCTCACCAACCCGCCAGGGGCCTGGCTATTCTGGGGGGGGGATCCGGAGTCACTCTGGATTTATCCCCGGGAAGATGAGAACAGCCGTCTCTCTCTCTCTCTGTCTGAGCAATTCTTTGTGTCATCCCTGTCGCTTTCTTCCAGGAGACGGATCCTTCCGCTGCGTCGGTTGGCTCCCAGATGGCTGCATCAGGGCTTCCCAGCCCACCGCGAGGACTCCAGTACCAGTGTGAATAAAGCGCTCTCCCCAAATAACTCCCCAGGTAAACTGGATGTCCCCAATATATCTGCCCCCACCCCAGGTGCTTCTGAACGACCCGTCGGGGTAACCGATCGCAGCTGGAGTCAGGGGATCAAGCCAGGACTCCTCCTCCTTAGCAGCGGGGTGGTTCATTGGGCATATTACTGTATCACACGGCCTCTCTCCTGCACCAGGGGGCGCTACTGCTTCCAGCCAGCTGCTGGCTTCATCCCAAACAGACGCCCCCATGTTCCCCTTCCTACCCACTGCAAACAGAGACGCACAAAGCGGGGACTTGGGGTGCAAAATTGCTGCGATGCAGCCACCTCTAGGGCAGGACATCTGGGGAACAGCCACATACAACACTGCACAGGGACAGCTCATCTGGCACTGAGATGCAGCCACCTCTGGTGCAGGGCAGCTGGGGAACGGCCACACAGCTGGGGCACTGGGGACAGCCCTGACTGCCAGGGGTGGAGTCTGCCCTCATGCTAGTCCCTGCAGCCCCCTGGGAGGTCTCCCCCCAAGCACGATCCCACCCGGACCCTGCTGGGGGCGCTCCAAGGTGGGATTCGTGTGGCCCCTGCCAAGGGGTGGGCAGGTGGGGAACAGCCCCATAAACCCAGCGTGACCTCCCCCGCCACCCCCCACCATTCCCAGCGAAGGAGGGTCTAACCCTAGACCCAGCCACGGCCCATCCCCTGCTGGGGATCTCGCCGGATGGGAAGCAGGTGAAACGCGGGAGTTTCATGAAGACTGTCAGCGCCAGCCCGAGGAGCTGGTCCTCCCAATGCTCCGATCCGCCTGCTCCCCTTCCACAGTGCCCCCATCCATCCCATCTTCGACCCCGGCTGGCACGACACCGGGCACCCGCGGCCCCTCCAGATCCCGGGACCCGCTGGCCAGCGCCAGCCACGTCCGCAGCCTGGTTCATGATCTGGGCATTTGGGGGCGGGGGGGGCGACGGTCGGGCGCTGCCACGTTCACGACTCAGCAGCTGCCCACAACCACCCTGCGGCTCTGACGTAATCTCTGCGCCTGGCACACGGGGACAGCCGGGCGAAAGGCCAGCGGCTTCCCAAACCCTGGCTCCCGGGGCCGGCTCTGGTAGAGAGTCGCTGGCTCAGGCCCGGGCCACTCACAGGAGACCCGTTTTCGGTGGATCGTCCCGAGAAAACGACACGGAGAACCCGAACATTTTCAAGATGGGGCATTTGTCAGGGGAGGGGCTGTATCTCCTGACCCCCTGGATTAGCTCACTGGACATTTGCACCCCAAATGATATCCAGTGCCTACTACCGGCCTGGCAGATTTTGGGGGGGCAGGATCTACAGAACCCCTTAATTACAGAACCCCAATTTACCACCCCAAATTCTAGCCAGTGCCTACAACTGGCCAAGGTTTTTTGGGGGGGCAACAATCTGAACCCCCTAGACTAGACCCCCAAATTTGCACCCTAAAGTCTATCCAGAGCAGGCCAATTTTGTGGGGGGCTGTATCTCCTGAACCCCTGGACTAATCAACCCCAAATGTGCACCCCAAATTCCACCTGGCGCCTCCCCCCAGCACAGCAATGTTCAGGTCGATCTGACGCAGCGTGTGGATTTTAGACCCGTTTGAGGTGTGACCTTGCTGCAGAATTTGGGAGACGACCGTAATTAGGCTGCAGCTAGGCGTGAGTTGGCTTTGGGGGAGCTGAACCCCACTTTCCTCTCTGTGAAGGGGGCAGGGCAGAGCCCGCAGCCTGGAGCTGCTGGGGCCTTTCACGCTTTCGAGTTCCTGCACTACGCAATCAGATACTAAACCCAGCGGCCAGTGGCGGGCCCGGCAGCTCCGTTGCCCAAACGCTCTGCAGCGAAGGGAGATCGGAGTAATCGCCCCCTGGTCCCTTTATGCGCCAACGAAGCCGCGTGCGTGATAGAAACAGGAGTTCATGGTAGGAATTAGTGAACAAAGCAGTTTTGTCTCCGGCTTCTGGCAAAGATTTTTTTCCTCTGGTTTAAAAACAAAGAAAACCGCAGAACAGAAACTGGAACAAAATAATCAGACAAAAACACTTTCAGAAATGTGGCCATTCCCCTCCCACGGCTGGGGAGAGAACCCAGGCGTCCTGGCTCCCAGCCCCCCCTGCTCTCACCCCTAGTCCCCACTCCCCTTCTCATGGATGGGGAGAGAACCCAGGAGTCCTGGCTCCCAGGCCCCCCTGCTCTAACCCCTAGTTCCCACTCCCCTCCCATGGATGGGGAGAGAACCCAGGAGTCCTGGCTCACAGTCCTCCCCCCCCACCACAGTGTCATGACACCCCCTCGGGGTCAGTGGATCCCTGTGCAGAGGTGGGCTCTGGTGGGGCCCCGTTTCCCTGCGGGCCCCCAGACACAGGCTCCGCTCCTGGGGTCTCCTCCGGGGTCATGGGCCGATTCCGCTTGAAGAAGCCGAACTGGGGAAGAGAGAAGAGGGGGGCAGGGGTGTTAGACGGAGGGCGGCTGATGGACGGACAGACAGGCCGGTGTCAGGCCAGCCAAAGAGCTGGGGAGGGGACACGCACCTTATACAGGAGCCCGACCATTACGACGAGAAGCAGGATGCCCCCAATGGAGCTGCCAATAATCACCGGGACTGGGTTGAAATGGGAAATTAACTCTACCTCCGTGGTGATCTGAGGAGAGACATAGTTAGGGGAGAGAACCCAGGAGTCCTGGCTCCCAGCCCCCCATGCTCTAACCCACTAGACCCCGCCCCCACCCAGAGCCAGGAGAGAACCCAGGAGTCCTGGCTCCCAACCCTAACCCACCAGACCCCCCGCCCCGCCAGAGCCAGGAGAGAACCCAGGCGTCTGGGCTCCCGGTACCTGGCTATACTGGAATTCCTCTGGCTGGATCTGGAAGTA